ATGGATATCAGAAGAGACTCTGAAATTTACTCTCCAGCGTAGACATTCTAAAACAAATGGAAGAAATGAGACTGTAAAAGAGATGAATAGAATATTTCAAAGGTCAGCTTGAAAAGACAAAGTCACATATTATAATGAAATGTGCAAAGAACTCCAGCATCATTTCTATCACCAAGGCCATATTTTCCAACTACTGATCCTTCCTCTTTGTTTCCAATCTTTGCATTCCAATCACCAGGAATGATGAATACATCTTGGTTGCATATTTGATCAATTTCAGATCGAAGAAGTTGATAAAATTCTTCAATTTTATTATCACTGTCTATGATGGTTGGTGCATAAATTTGAATAACAGTGGTATTGACCGGTCTTCCTTGTAGGCATATTGATTTTATCTTATCAGAGACAGTGTTGTACTTCAAGATGCATCTTGATATGTTGTTTTTCATAAAGAATGTGACGCCATTCCTCATTTTGTCATTCCCAGCATAGTAAACCATGTGATTGTCAGATTCAAAATGACCAATACCAGTCCATTTCAGCTCACTAATGCCTAGGATATCGATGTTTATGCGTTCCATTTCATTTTTGACAATTTGCAATATTCCTAGATTTATACTTCGTACATTCCATGTTCCAATTATTCATGGATATTTACAGCTGTTTCTCTTCATTTTGAGTTGTGCCCCACCAGCAGATGAAGGTCTCTAATGCTTTGCTCCATTCATGTTATCGTGGTCAACTCTACTTTGAGGAGACAACTCTTCCTCAGTCATATTATGAATGCCTTCCAACCTGAGGGCCTCATCTTCCAGCACTGTATCTGATAATATTCTGATGTTCTTCATCATGTTTCAGTGTTCAGTATTCAGGTGTTATCTGACAGTGTCATAATGCTATTCATAAGGTTTTCAGTGACTAAATATTTGGAAATAGTCCTCTTTCTTCCTAGTCTGTCTTCATCTGGTAGCTCATCTGAAACTTATTCACCATAGGTGACTCTGCTGGTGTTTAAAATACCCATGAGATAGCTTCCAGAATCACAGCAACATGCAAGCTACCACATACGACAAACTGATAGACCAGTGGTGGTATATAACCATGGTGGTGGTAGTTACATGCCATGGAGTTGGTTCCAGCTCATTGCGACCGTGTTATAGGGCTTCCAAGGCTGTAAATCTTTACAGGAGTAGAAAGCCTCATCTTTCTGCTGCAGAACTGCTGGTAGTTTCGAACTGTTGACTGTGAGATTAGCAGCCCAACTAATAACCCCTACGCTACCAGAGTTCCTTATATCACCATGTTGTTCTTGTTGTTAAGTGCCATGGAGATGGTTCCAACTCATAGTGACCCTGCACAGGGTTGCCGAGTCTTGTAAATATTTACAGAAGCAGAAAGCCTCATCTTTCTGCTGCGGAACAGCTGATAGTTTCGAACTGCTGACCTTGAGGTTACCAGCCCAATTTGTAACCACTACACTACTGGAGTACTATATAACCGTACTATATAACCATAGTATGTTTGAAAAACTGAAAACTAACATTGGTTCGTTATTATTAACTAAATTCCAGACTTACTTATATTTACTAATGTCATTTATCTGCTCCAGGATACTGGATTTCATTTATTACATTATTATTCATTTTTATTTTGATTGTTGAGCACATACAGAGCAGAACATCACCAACAAATTCTACACATACAATTGAGTAACTTTGATTACATCTTTGAATTGTGCAAACATTATTACCCTCCATTTCTGAGGTTTTTTTCCTCTATTAATATTAATTCACTACCCCATAAGATTCCTATTTAATCTTTAGAGTTTTTCTTTGCAACATAGATCTTAAAAAAGCACAGTGTTTAGTTAAACTATTGTTAGGTTTTAAGAAGACTTCTGGAGGTAATTTTGGTTTCGGGTTTAAAGATGATCTCAGGGCAGTAATTTCAGGGATTCATACAGCCCCCATGGATCCAGAAAGTTTGTATTCCATGAAAATTTGAAATTCTGTTCTACATTTCCCCTCCTTTTTCCTGGATTCCCAGCTGTGGTTGCCCAGCACCATCCACTTCTTCTGGTCTCATGGTAAAGGAGGAAGTGGTTTGTGGAGGTAATTAGCCACATAATCCAGATCTTCCTCCTATTCCTGACTCTCTTTTTATATTGCTCCAGATAGAGACTGATTGTTGTATAGCTGTCTGCAAGTTTTAAGGACCTTAGAACTACACAGTGAACTAAGAGGTAGAACAGAATGGTGGCTGAGTGCCATGGAGTCAGTTCTGACTCATAGCAACCCTGTACAGGGTTTCTGAGGCTGTAAATCTTTACGGGAGCAGAAAGCCTCATCTGTCTCCCGTAGAACAGCTGGTAGTTTCGAACTGCTGACCTTGAGGTTCGCAGCCCGATTCATAACCACTGTGTTACCAGAGAACAGAATAACTATAAATATATTGCGAGGCCAATTTATGTCCCATGAAACTCTGACCCTAAACCTCCCAGCCAAGGTACCAAATCTCATGTACATAAACAGCCTCAGCAATTATTCTTTCATTGTTGGTGGGTTTTGTTCATTGTTGTAAATATATCACACAGGATTTGCTGATTCAACTTATTATAGGTGTGCATCTTATTGACAGAAATTACAGTAATCAGCTGGGTGAACCTACCTGTAATTAATGTGATTTTTCCATCATCTTTAACCAAAATTCAATGTATTACTTTTTTTTTTTTTTTTTAATGTATTACTTTTTTAAATTGTTGTTGTTGTTGTTGTTGTTAGGTACAATCGAGTCGGTACTGACCTTATGCACAGGAGAACGAAACACTGCCCGATCCTGGGCTAACCTCACTACTATTGCCACGCTTGAGTCCATCGATGCTGCCACTTGGCCAGTCCATCTCATTGGGGGTCTTCCTCTTTTTCTCTGACCCTCCACCTTACCAAACATGATATCCTTCTCCAGCAACTGGTCCCTCCTGACAATATGTCCGAAGTATGAGAGACGAAGTTTGGCCATCTTGGCCTCCAAGGAGCACTCTGGCTGCACTTCTTCCAAAACGGATCTGTTTCTTCTTTTGGCAGCCCATAGCACTTTCAATATTCTCCTCCAACACCATAAGTCAAAAGCATCAATTCTTCTACAATCTTCTTTATGCACTGTCCAGCTTTCGCATGCATATGAGATTATTGAAAATAGTATGGCTTGGGTCAGGCGTACCTTAGTCCTCAAGCTGACATCTTTGCTGTTCAACACTCTAAAAAGGTCTCTTGCAACAGATTTGCCTAATGCAATACATCGTTTGATTTCTTGACTGCTGCTTCTGTGAGTGTTGATAGATGATCCAAGAAGAATGAAGTCCTTGACAGCTGCACTCTTTTCTCCATTGATAAGAATGTTGTTTATTGATCCAGTGGTGAGGAGTTTTGTTTTCTTTACATTGAGACGTAATCCATACCGAAGGTTGTGCTCTTTGATCTTCATCAGTAAATCTTTTAAGTCCTCTTCACTTTCATCAAGCAAGGTTGTATCATCTGCATATCACAGGTTGTTAATGAGTCTTCCTCCAATCCTGATGCCACATTTTTCTTCATATAGCCCAGCTTCTCACATTATTTGCTCCACATACAGGTTGAATAAGTATTGGGTCACCTCTCTTTGGAATGGGCAAAAATACGGATCTCTTCCAATCAGTTGGCCAGATAGTCATCCTCCAAATTTCTTGGTGGAGATGAGTTAGTGTCTCCTGTGCCACGTCACTTTCTTGAAAGATTTCAATTTTTATTCCATCAGTTCTTGGTGCCTTGTTCTTTGCCAATTCCTTCAGTGCACTTTGGACTTCCTCCTTCAGTATCATTGGCTCTTGATCATATGCTACCTCTTGAAACTGTTGAACATTAACCATTTCCTTTTGGTACAGTGACTGTGTATTTCTTCCATCTTCTCTTGATGCTTTCTGCATCATTCAGTCATTTGCCCAGAGAATCTTTCAGTAACAAAAGTCAAGGCTTGATTTTTTTTCTTCAGTTCCCCTAGCTTGAGAAATGCTGAGCTTGTTCTTCCTTTAGGGTTTTCTGATTCCAGATCTGTGCACATTTTGTTGTAATATTGGGCTTTATCTTCTCAAGCTGATCTTAGAAATTTTCTTTTCAGTTCTTGTACCTCCTCATTTCTTCTATTTGCTTTAGCATCTCCATGTTGGTGAGCAAGTGTCAGTGTCTCTTCTGAAATCCATTTTGACGTTTTCTTTCTTTCTTGTTTTCTTAATGACTTTTTGCTTTTTTCATGTATGATGTTCTTGATATCATCCCACAACTCTACAGGTCTTTGGTCTGTAGTGTTTAATGTATCAAATCTGTTCTTCAGATGATCTCTAAATTCAGGTGGGATATAGTCATGGCCATATTTTGGCTCTCGTGGACTTGTTTTAATTTTCTTCAGCTTCCATTTGAATTTTCGTATGTGCAATTGATGGTCTGTTCCACAGTCTGCCCCTGGCCTTGTTTTGACTGATGATATGTAGTTAAGTAAAATGTTAAATAGTTAAGATAAACAGCTAATTTAATGAAGGCAGAGATGATGACATGTAGAGATGGAACATGGAGAGATGGAACAGCTTGGGACTCTAGACCCAGAAAGGGAGAGGGGCTGTCCTGACGACTGAGGGGCAGGCTTGCAGGGTATACCCTTTTGTTGGTTGATGATGCATGAAGAGGATTGTAACCATGACAATGAGACCATATACGATAGGATGAATGTAAAGCTAATGTTCTCCCATGTAAACTATCACATAATTCACAATTGAAAAAAAAAAAGCGAATTTAGTTTTATTGAAATTTACAGCTTGGTTCATAAGAGTGATAAATATTTTTTTTTCTTTGCATTTAAATGTGAATAATCTGCCCAAATTTTTGGAGAGAACACTCATTAAAACATTTTGTGTTTTTAATTGTGGCTCCATATAATCTGTGTCTAAAAGCTTGAATCTCTTATTTCCTTAGGGAGCACTCAATGTCAATGAAAGAACCATACCTCAGCCCCCTATTCTTCAGCTGTCAGTGGAAAAGCTGAGCAGGGATGGAGCTTTTCTCATGGATGCAGGCTTTGTAAGTAGTTTGGCTGAACCCTACCCTTCTCTCTGCCTGTTACTATACCTTTTTAGCATTTGGCTTTATTCCCCTTAATATATTTCTTCCTCTACAGATGATATACCCTTTAACCAATGTATTTTGTACTAACCCACAATATCCTTCCACAGCTTCCTTCTTTTATGCCAAACAGAAAATATCTCATCACTAAACAACATACTCATCTTTTACATTTTTTAAAGTGTATGCAGTGGTAAAGATGAATGAGAAAACTCATTGTTACAGTATCTCATAGGAATTTTTTCCTGTCCCCCAGGTAATGATGCTTTGGGTTGGAAAAAATTGTGGACAGAATTTTCTCAGCCACGTTCTAGGAGTTCAGAACTATGCATCAATTCCACAGACTATGGTAAGCTTTTCTCACTCTGATTACAAAGTAGACTAGAAGGATATTTCAAAGGTGACAAAGACAGGAATTGCCTACTATGAAGTCAGAACATAGTCCCAAGAGCTTGACAAAAAGGAAAATGTCTTTATAGATCATGTTTCTCTTTTAACTGAAAAACTCACTGTATATTTTAATAGCATTCTTTAGGTCATTTTGTATCATTGACTTAGCTGTTCTTATGTATGGAATGTTAATAGTTGTATTTTAAAGAGAAAGGAATATATTTAGTTAACAGCAAAAAAAAAAGCATTCTACAAATGACATTAGTACAACTTTTGTGTTTTAAAATTTTTTGACAAGTGATTGCATTATCTCTTTAACAGGATCCTCTTCTTAAGAAATTGTGTGTGTGTGAAATATATATACAAAACGTTTATTGGCAGTCCCTTTAATTGTTGCTCTAAAATAAGCTAATTCCCAAATTGCAGTACCTACCAAATTACTGGTAGTCAGTGGTAAATGAATTGTTGCTACATACAGCAACAATGAACCCTGCATATCATTAGCTATAAGATTCGGAATGAGACTCGAATAGCCTCATTTGTAAACTAAGAGTGAGTCCTCTTGCTTGTAGTTGTTAATTGCCATCGAGTCAATTCCGACCCATAGTGACCCTGTATAGGATAGGGTTTCCAAGAAGCAGCTGGTGAGCTTGAACCACCGACCTTTCAGTTCAAACAACTTTGTAGTCTGACACATTAGCCCACAGCGCCACACCAGAACTCCATGCTCTTGCTTATAGAGGAGTAATTGAAATGATCCATGAAAATGTACTTGTTAAACCATATAGCATTTTAGATCGTTTTGAATTATAAAGTTAGAATTCATTCATACAAACTATCAGTTTGTAACTAAGTTTGGAATATGTGTTTTTTGTCAACACTTTTACGTATTTATGGGTTTAACTCCATTCATAACAGTCATTGGGGTATTCTGGTACTTAAAAAAACACATTCATGAGTGTATTGATTAAGCACTGACGTTGACTTGAGCCTATGCTACTGGACTGAAGACTAGGCGTGAGCAGATGAGAAATAAACAGATTTATAAAAACCACCTGAATGTATCCATTAATTCTAGAAGTTATAACAAAATGAAGAGAAGAACATGTAGGTTCAGGAAGCTAAATAAAGTTTTATTGGAACATAGTCATGCCCATTCATTTATGTATATGTAGTTTGAGGCTACATTGAATATTTGGAACAGAAGCCAAATGACTTACAAGCCTAAGATATTTACTGTGTAGTCTTTTCAGAAGAATTTTCACTGTGCACCCAGTTCATTGCAGCATTATTCACAATTGTTAAAATGTAGAATCAACCCAAATGCCCATTAACCAGATGACTGGATAAACAAAATATAGTATATACATACCCTGAATGTATATATTCTCTTTATCAGCAATGAAGAGAAATGAGGTTCTGCTATATTCTGAAATATAGATAAACCTTGAAAACATAGTGAAATACATCAGACACAAAAGGAAAAATGTGATTCCATTTATATGAATGGAATGTATGTATCTGTTTAGGCAAATACATAGAGACAAAACATAAAAGTTTATTATATTAGTGATTATCAGGGTCTGGAAAGTCCCTAGATGGCACAGTTTGTGCTTAACTGTTAAACTAAAGGTTTGCACCTTGGAAGATAAGCCTGACAATCTGCTTCCATTAAAACTGCAGCCCAAAAAACCCTATCAAAAAGTTCTGTTCCACCACATTGGGTTGATAAGAGTTGGAATTGATTCATCATCAACAATAATAACTACAGCTAGAAGTTGACAGGAGAAAGAAGCGGGGGTTATGGCTTACGTTTCTGTTTCTGAAAATGGGTATTGGTGCTAATTGTTACACCACATTATGGGTTAATGTCACTGAATTGTACACTTAAAAATGGTTAAGACAGCAAAATTTTTGTTGAATATATTTTACCACAATTAAATGTGAAAAAAAAATTTATCAGTTGGCATAAGTGAAAAAACAAAGTTCTTATTCTTAAGAAAAGAAGTTTTCCAGACCTTGCTCTAGAGCCTTGCTTAGAAAATGTGGTTTTTTTAAACCAAGTAGCATGTTGTATGCCACATCTGGGAGATTGTTAGAAATACAGAATCTCTGTTCCTCACCTCTTACTATGAGCATTTGCGTATCAGTAAAATTTCCTGGTGATTCATATGCTTGGTAAAGCTTGCAAAGTACTATAGTTGGTACAAGGAGCCCTAGTGGCACAGTGATTAAAGTGCTCAACTGCTAACCAAAAGATCAGCTGTTCAAACTCACCAGCTGCTTTGAGAGAGAAAGATATGGCTTTCTGCTTTTGCAAAGATTTACAGCCTTGGAAAACCTATGGAGCAATTCTGCTCTATGCTGTAGGGTTGCTGTGAGTGGGATTCATCTCAACAGCAGTGCATTTTTTGGTAAATGACATATTAGACATATGATTAGAATAAATTGGATGTTACTGGTTTTCTTTTAACAGACAGATCTTCCAGAACTTGATACACCAGAATCTGCCAGAACAATAACTTTCATCTCTTGGCTTCGAGAACAGAGACCTTTTTTTCCAATACTTTATGTAATAAAGTAAGTTGAATTTTTCATTTACTAATAGTGAAACCTACCACTTGTCTGTCAGTTTATGGTGGCTTGTATGTTGCTGTGATGCTGGAAGCTATGCCACCTGTACTTTAAATCCCAGCAGGGTCACCCAAGGTGGAGAGGTTTCAGCAGAGCTTCCAGACTAATACAAACTAGGAAGAAGGAGAGGCAGACCAACTCTGAATGATTAACTACTGATAACTTTATGAATAGCACTAGAACATTGTCAGATAGTGCCAGAAAATAAGCCCCTCAGCTTAGAAGGCACTCAAAATGTGACTGGGTAAAGAGGTGCCACCTCAATGTAGAGTTGACTATAATGACGTGAACGGAGAAAAGCTTTCAGAACCTTCATTTGTTGACAGAGCACAACTCGAAAGGAAAAGAAAATGCTGCAAATATCCATTGATAATCAAAACTTAGAAGATACAAAGTACAAATATAGGAAAATTGAAAATTTTCAAAAATGAAATGGGACACATAAAAATATCATGGGCATTGTTTGAATCTAACAATTATATAGTTTACTATGCCTGGAACATCAAATTGAAGAGGAATGGTGCCACATTCATCATCAAAAATAACATTTCAAGATCTATCTTCAAGTACAGTGTTGTCTTTAAAAGGATAGTATCCATATACCTACAAGGAAGACCAGTTAACACCATTATTATTCAAATTTACGCACCAACCACTGAAGCCAGTGAGGATGAAATTGAATTCTACCAACTTCTTCCGTCTAAAATTGATCAATTTTGCAATCAAGATTCATTGATAGCTACTGATTATTTGAATGCAAAACAGGAAGAATCAGTAGTTGGAAAATATGGCCTTGGTGATAGAAATGATGCTGAAGATCGCATGATAGAATTTTGCAAGACCAACAAGTTATTCATTGTAAATACCTTGTTTCAACAACATAAAAGGCAGACTGTACATGTGTACTTCACCAGATGGAATACACAGAAATCAAATTGACTACATCTGTGGAAAGAGATGATGGCGAAGTTCAATGTTATCAGCCAAAGCAAGACCAGGGACTGGCCATGGAACAGACCTTCAATTGCTCATATGCAAGTTCAGGTTGAAACTTAAGAAAATTAAAGCAAATCCACAAGAACCCAAATATGACCTTGAATATATCCCTCCCTGAATTTAGAGACCATCTCAAGAACAGATTTGACTGAAAACCAGAAGAGTTGTGTGATGATCTCAAGAACATCATACTGGAAAAAAGCAAAAGGTCATTAAAAAAACTTAAATGGATATCAAAAGAGACTTCTAAACCTTCCTCATAAGCATAGAGAAGCTAAAGTGGCTAGAAAAAAGTATTAAGTCAAAAAACTGAAAAGAAAATTTCAAAGGGCAGCTCAAGAGGCCGACCCTCAATGAAATAGTTTGACATAGTGGCAGCAACACTGGGCTCAAACATAACAATAATTGTGAGGTTGATCCAGGGCCAGGCAGTGATTCATTCTGTTGTGCATAGAATCAATATGAGTTGGAACCAACTCAACGGCACCTAACAATAGCAAAACAATTTGTTTGCCTTGCAAGGACCTATTTTGACTTAAATATGTGTGTGACTTATTGCTTAAATAAACTCTTTAGAATAGGAAAAGTAAAAAGAATTATTTTCAATAAATAGTAAATATGAGATTTTGTTTTATATCCAAGTATTGGAATTCGTAAACTTTTAATGAGCTTGTTAGTAAAAAGCTTAACTATTTCTCTTAATTCTGCTATATATAAACTTTCCCCTCTACATAACATCAAGTTATCTGTCAAGTATTCTCAGAGAAAGCATGTTGAAGTACCTACTTATATCATAGATGTTATTATGAAAATATGACAAATCTGGTCTTGTGGGTTTTTTTTTTAATTATTAAATTTTGTATAATATATACAACTATTTTTACCTTTTATTCTTAAGGGATGAGAGTCCAATGAAGGCAATCTTCCTTCAAAACATGATAGAAGACAGAACAGAATCTGCATTATCATATTATGAATTCCTCTTGCATATACAGCAGCAAGTGAATAAATGAGCAAATGAAATTTGGCTTCCATAATATGGAACACCTGAAAATGTGTAACATCTTCGATTCTATTAGGTTTTTGAACTAATGTGATGATTAACCCTTTTGTGACCTGGGGGACATATATCATCCACCAACATTTTCAGCCTCTCAGGTTTCCTGGGAAGCTGTTACACCAGTTATAGTACATGCTGCTGCCTGGCAGGGACCTGTATAACTGCATGAGTCTGCAGAACAGGCCTCATCTCACCAATCGTACTACCAGAATTCACTTGGGACATAGATATCCCACATAATTGTATCAAAATCTATGAAACCTCAAAAAATATTCCCCTTGATTTCAGCATGCCTTCTATTACTGAAAACATATGCTATAAGCAGAATTTCAAAGGATAAAATAATTTGGTCATGAAAGGGTTAAGATAATCTCACTGTGATTTTAGGAAACTATAGCAAATAAAAGACCACAGCAGAGAATCAAACATGCAACTCTGAATACTGTATTTTTCCATTCAAAATATATCTATGTGTGATTAGATAACCTTTTTCCGTTGTTGCCAATTATGTATGCATTGTTATGAATTGAAATAAGATGAGACAATATTGCAGGGCAAAGTAAATTTTGTAAAATGAAGATTCTTTGTTCAAAATGTATATCTGTTATTTTTTAATTCTTTGAATTTTTGGCTGCTACATTAAAACCTCACAAAACTAAGTGTTGCAGGGAAATTATAAATTTTGAAAAATATCTTTTTTTTTTTAATTTAGGAATAAAATGTAGAAAAACTAGAACCCATCCCCCATTCCTGTTTTGCTTTTTTCTTTTTTGGGGAAAGAAAAGGATCATCATGTTAACTAAACCTAGAATAAACTAACTCTAGCTTAAGAAGAAGACTATGAATAAATTCAAGCTTTAAAATCTGTCAGTATTCTCTATACTTGAAGAACAAACTCACTTCAATTTGAAGTGAAAACTATAATTAAATAGTTCTCCGATTTGCTTCACGAATGCTTACACATTCTGTCTTATTCTGCAGTAAAAAGAATATGAGCTTTTCACAAATACATTGGAACTGGGCAGTGATGGTAGGGAGATGGGAAGTTTCAATTATCTTGTACATTTCTGCCCTGTGATATAGAATAAAAGTATTATTTTGGAGAAATGAGGATGATTGAAACAAATTAAAGGCTTCTTAAGTGTTGTCTCAAATGCATCAATAACATTTTTCTAAGGAGCTTGATAACTGTTCTTTAATATAAGAGGAACCTATTAAAGCATGAATGCTGCTGTTGGAATTGGTGGGAATTAAAATCACACAAATCTAATATACTGAAATAATGAAAAAGCTTGATTTCAGAACATGGTCAAGAGACTGCTTTTTTGATTCAGCCAGAGAAATATTATAGTCAAAACTGTTAAGCGAATTTTGTTTACAAATAGGTAAATTATATATCTGTATATTTAAAGTGGTGTGATGTATCTTTTAAGAGTTTGGCTCAGTTTTCACAGATTCAGTTTGTCTCCTATGAACTTCTTAACATAAAAGATCTTCATGTATAATACTTGCTGAAAAGATTTGTTTGTTTGTTTTAATGGCTCAGAAAATGTGTTTACAATCTTGGTCTCATATGATCACCAATGAAATAGCAATTTTCAGGTTTACATCAGTATGAGCTGACTTCAACTGAGTTGTTTTGGAATAGGAAAGAGGAAGGTCCCACTAGAGTATACAGCTAATGCCTGCCAGCTGGATTAGAATTGTATTTTCTAAAAATTATCATCTCCCTAAAGCAGTGTTAAGGTTTGTTTTCAGTATGCAAGTTGTGCATTGAACTGTAATAAATGAAGCCATTTTCTTCAAAATGGCTTCATTTATTAGGAAGCAACTTTCAAATGGTAGCAAATTAAATTTACATTTTCCCCTTATTTAAAGAAACTGAGAGTCACTATTATGCACTGATGTTTCTTAAAATAACAAATTGTCTTCTTAATGTGAATTTTACATGTTGATATTTGTAAGTCCTTTCTTAACAGTAAAGGATCTTCCAGAAGGAAAAGTGTGTGCTTCTAGACACAGTAATCTTTCTTGTGCCTCACTACATCCATACATGGTATGACTCTTATTACTTCAAGCTTTGGTAGTATATTTCACAAATTTACTTTAAAATTTTTACTTTAAGAATCACTTCAGATGTTGTGTAGCATGTGCAGTCCATAATAAAATTTTAACAGCCAGGTCATTAAAAAAAACAAAAACTTTACTTGCACAATATTTTTCTCATCTCCTGATTATTAGGGAATGAGTGAACGTTTTGGAGATATTATTGTTAAAGCAAGTTGATGTTAAAGCAATTCATTTTTGCAATATTGAATGTGGAGTGGTTTTTTTGTTTTGTTTCATTTTGTTTTGACAGTGGGGCACTACCTCCTGTTTCACCTTTTATTACTTTTTGATGTAAAGCAACTAATATTTACAATATGCCATATTTTTTTTATTATAGTTGTAAATTATCATGAAAGATCCTTGAATTTTCTACAGATCTACAACTACTAAAGTAACAGACAAGGGCAATCTTGGTATTTAAATCTGAGCATGACAGTTCTATCATAAAAAGTACTCTATTTTTCTAATTTCTAGGATTTTTAAAAATAACATTTCTGTAAGTCTGACATACTAATATCCATCCAAGCAGTATCATTTATTTTAGTTTGCATATATTTTCATTGTTTTTAATTTAATATAATGTATCTAATACTGTTTTGCAATAATTAGAATAAAAGATTTATTTCTTCTAATCAAAGATGCATAACAGTTATTATCTAGGGGACCACCAAATGTGATTTTAAGATTTTGTTAACTATTACAAATATAATCCTTATATAGAAGTTTTAATTTTGTAAAGTAGTGTATAATACTGTAACATTAACTTCTTATTCTGAGATTCATATGTATTGAAATTCAATGTGTTGTGTTAAAACTTGCTTCTCTGAAATGTTGAAGACAAGATTTGTCCTCCTTTTTACAGTTTGTAATTTTCATTGTTTAATTCCTGTTAAAAAGAGTCATTTGTAACCCATGCAAATAATCATTTGATCTGTGTTAACATCAATTTGGCTACTCAATAAAGTTAATTAAAAGAGATTACATACGATTTTTATAGTTATTTATTTGTTGTTGTTGTTGTTGTTAGGTGCCATCGAGTTGGTACCGCGACTCATAGCGACCCTATGCACAACAGAACAAAACACTGCCCAGTTCTGGGCCAACCTCACAATTGTTGCCACACTTGAACCCACTGATGCTGCTACTTTGCCAATCCATCTCACTGGGGGTCTTCCTCTTTTTCTCTGACCCTCCACCTTACCAAACATGATATCCTTCTCCAGCAACTGGTCCCTCCTGACAATATGTCCAAAATATAATAGACGAAATTTGGCCATCCTGGCCTCCAAGAAGCAATCTGGCTACACTTCTTCCAACACAGATCTGTTTGTTCTTTTGGCAGCCCATGGTACTTACAATATTTTCCTCCAACACCATAACTCAAATGCATCAATTCGTCTGTGGTCTTCCTTATTAACTATCCAGCTTTCGCATGTATATGAGGTTATTGAAAATACATGGCTTGGGTCAGGTGCACCTTAGTCTTCCAGCTGACATCTTTGCTCTTCAACACTCTAAAAAGGTCTCATGCAGCAGATTTGCCCAATGCAATATGTTGTTTGATTTCTTGACTGCTGCTTCCATGAGTCTTAATGGTTGATCCAAGAAAAATGAAGTCCTTGACAATTTCCATCTTTTCTTCATTGATAAGAATGTTGTTTATTGGTCCAGTGGTGAGGATTTTTGTTTAATTTACATTGAGATGCAATCCATACTGAAGGCTGTGTTCTTTGATCTTCTTCAGTAAGTATTTTAAGTCCTCTTCATTCTCAGCAAGCAAGGTTGTATTATCTGCATATCGCAGGTTGTTATATCTGGGTTTTAAATTCTAGATTGAAAAGTTATTTTTTTCTCAGTATCTTAAAGATATTATTTACTCTCATTTTAAAAAATATATATACTATTTACCTTCTCGACCCTTTGTTACTGAAAAAAAGGTAATATTGTAAATCTAATGTGATAATGAGCTCTGGTAGTGTAACGGTTACGAATCGGGCTGTGAACCGCAAGGTCAGCATTTCGAAACTACCAGCTGCTCTGCGGGAGAGAGATGAGGCTCTCTGCTCCTGTAAAGATTTACAGCCTTGGAAAACCTGTTACAGGGTCACTATGAGTCGGAACTGACTCCACAGCACATAACAACAGTGTGATAATAATTTGGTATGTTTTAAGGTTTTTCTTTAATACTTCATGTTCTTAGACGTTTTTGTATGACTTGAGGGAAAGTTTACAGAACAGATCATCAGTTTCATAATCAAATCATGCACTTCATTTCATATGGACTGCAGTTCTCTCCATGTAACATCAACTGATCCCATTTCCTCCCTGTATTTCTTGTTTCCATTACTCCTCCTTTCCCCACTGTTCTGAATTTTGTCCCTAGGTAAATGCTGTGCTTTTAATCTCCAGTGGTTGACCATTTTACGGTATACATACTCCACTCATAATTCTCCTGTATAATGCTTCAATAGTTTGAAGATTTTGTCTATCTTCAATTCTGGGAATTTTTCAGTTATTTTTTCTTTTCAAATATTTCCTTCTCTGCCATTCCCTCCATTCATTTCTCTTTTTAATTCAATAATTCCCATTAAATATATGTTTTCACTAATTCCTTTCTTTTTATTTTATTTTTTTTACTATATCCAGAGTAAAGTTTAATATCCTGTATTGAATTTTGTATTTTCATAACTACAATCTTCATTTCCAAGATGGACTTCTCCATGTGGGATTTTTTTGTTTTATTTATTTCTACCTGTTTTCTTGAGTTTTTAAAAATTATAATCTGTTTTAGGTGAAAATTTACAGAGCAAATTAGGTTACCATTTAGTAATTTTTATACAAATT